CTTATAGCATGAAAACAAATCTGATCAAATGCCTGGGCAATCAGACTTAAAATCAATCTCATTATTAAAATCTAAATCATCAGACAATATCTAATACAACAATCCACAGTATTTTAAGTTGCAAAGAGAGGTTTCCTACCTTGCCTGCTTCTCTTTCTAAGTCGACATATTCCCGGCTAGGTGTTTGTCGCTGTTCTCCCTGCCAGCTGGCCGGAAAAAACTGGAGAGACAGATTGGTTCCTGTGGCCACAAAAGCCTTTTAGAAAAATCAATACAAACAGGATCAGGAGCAGGACATTACATAAATTATGCAGGCAGTCATTTATTTTTACATCAGTTTATGTCTTAAGCCAGGCAGCACTGAGAATACTTAAAAGTAAAAAGCACGCACTCATCATTTTTCTTAAGTATTAAGTTACAAACATCTGATTCCATTTTGAGGACATTTGCCATTGGCTGCTTAAATATAAAATCAGACATGGAATCAATACAGTCTTTCAGGTCAGTTTTTGCTGAGGTTAGGGACTCACATTGCTCATGTCTACCAGAAACCTCTATTTTTGCATTTAAAAACATTTTTAAATGTGAAAATCTCTGATGATCTAAAGAGTTTTGACTTTTAAAGCATGCCACAATTAAAAAAAAAAATCTTTTTGAGACAGGGTCTCCCTGTAGGCCCAGCTGTCCTGGAACTCACTAGGTAGACCAGGCTGGCCTTGAACTCACAGAGATCTGCCTGCCTCTGCCTCCCAAGTGCTGGGATTACAGGCATGCACCACCACACCTGGCTAGCATACCACAATTTAAAGTTGCATAAATGCGATCTTTACATTTTTCGTGATTTTCCTTGCTTAAGAAAACACCCACAGCACATGGGGCATAAAAAAAATGCAGCACAAAAGTACAGTTTTTAAGAATACGTTTCAAAGCCCATGATAAAAATGCACTATGGATTATCTCTCCTGTGATAAGCCACATATTACCATGTGATACAGTAGTACCTCTTTCTTTAAAAATTTGGAAGACTAAGAAAATACACATTTAAATTTTTTTTAACCTTAGGAGAACTCTATCAGTATAGAAAATACTGAATATTCATCTACTGTTTATAAAAGAATTAGATGGTACAGCTCAACAGACAGAACAATCTAAAACCATTTCAAAAAGTGACATTTCATGTAGCCTCTGAGCAATTTAACTATTATTTCCCCCACATTAAAAAAAAAAGCATTACTTACTTCCTTTTTCAAGGAAAATTCAGAAAGAAAGAAAGAAAGAAAGAAAGAAAGAAAGAAAGAAAAAAGCCCATTTCAAAAATATATTTTTTTAATCATCAAAGTATAACCTTTTTTTTTGGAGCCAGAGAGTTTATTTAACTAAATAAATTCTGAAGCATCGATTGTTTCTAAGCATAATCTTCACCAGAAAGCAAGGCGTTCACATGTTGGGCAATTTGTTCAAAGTCACCAGCGGACACATTTATCCATTAGTTTTCCTGATGATTAACAGCAGTTCGTTCTTTTTTTTTTTTCCAAGAAGGGGGTCTCTCACTATACTGCCCAAGATGGCACTGAACTTGTAATCCTTTTTCCTCAGTCTCTTAAATGCTAGGATTACAGTCACATGACACCACATCTACTTCCTATTTTTTATTACTGGTACTGTAGGTTCATTTGTCATCTTAACTGCTAAATCTCAACTTTTTTGATGGCATTTAAAAAAATATTTATTTTTATTTTATGTGTATGAGTGTACTGCCTGCATGTATGTGAGTGCAGCCGTGTTGTGCAATGCCTCGGAGGTCAGAGAGGGCTTTAGATTCCCCTGGAACTGGAGTTATGGACCGTTCATAGATGCCATGTGGGTGCTGGGAATCAAACCTGGGTCCTCTGCAAGAGCACTCAGTGCTCTTAACCGCTGAGCCATCTCTCCAGCCCCATTGATGGCATTTTTAAAAATCAACTGGCAAGCTGGGCGTGGTGGCACACGCCTTTAATCCCAGCACTAGGGAGGCAGAGGCAGGTGGATCTCTGTAAATTCAAGTCCAGCCTGGTCTACATAATGAGTTCCAGGACAGCTGGGGCTACAGGGAGACCCTGTCTCAAAAAGACCAAAAAAAAAAAAAAAAAAAAAAATCAACTGGCATACCTTTAATATTACAACATCAACTTAAAAAAAAAACTTTCAACGCACTATTGTAAAGTTTTACACATAAAAACGCCACTAGAACAAGTTCAAATGAAAAGCAGACTCAAGAATTCAAGGTCATCCTTGGCTACACAGCAAGTTCAAGGCTAGTCCTGAGCTACATAAGATCCTGTCCACTTCATCCCCTCCCAAAAAAGAAAAGTAGATTTCTGGAAGGAAAACTGTCTAGGCTGTATAACTTGAGGCATATTTCAGTTTCCTTATTTATTAAAGTGCTTAGAAAAGTGCCAAATAAGCACCATAAAAATGTGTGCCAAATAATATAAAGGAAATTACCTTCCTTCTCCCTTCCAGTTTGGTTCTTCAGACAGAATATCACTCAGTAGCCCAGAATGGCCTAGAACTCACTAGGTCACCTCAAATTCAAGGCAATCCCCTTGTCTCAATCACCCAAGTCCAAGAATCACAGGCATCAGCTACCACACTCAGCTTTGTTTGCTTCTGAGACTGGATCTTGCTACTTTGTCCAGGATGACCTCAAATTCTGGGGTTCAAGCAATCCTTTTCACTCAGCATCTCCAGTACTGGGACTACAGGCACAAACCTATGAACCCCACTTAAGAGAAATTACTCTGATCAATAAGATAGCTAACTTTCTTAGCCCCAGATAATGAAATTTTCTGGACTGAATATTGGCTGGTGAGATTCAGCCCATCAATGAATATCCTAGGTCAAAATTCCTGGGGCATGTTTCTTTAGTACCGTGCTCAACTCAGTAGCAAATCCTCCCACCTCTAGTGCTCCACATCAGTGCTATGACCCTGCAAGAATTACATTACTTCACATCCTGACTGAATGGTAACCTCAGAAGGCCATTCCTAAAGGTGGGTGTGGCACACACCTGTAATGTGGGTGTGTGGCAGAGGCAGGAGAATCAGGAGTTGCAAGGCCAGCCTGGTTTAAAAAAAGTCCTTCTCTAGAAAACATACCAAAAAAGGGGGTTGGAGCCAACTGAATGGGTAAAGTGCTTGCAGCACAGTTCTGACAACCTGAGTTCTGGTGGAAGGAGAGAACTGATTTTAAGAAGCTGTCCTCTGACCTCCACAAGTGCACAGTTGCATTCAAGGGTGTGAGAAGACACATATGCCCAACACACACACAAACACAAAGAAAAAGTATTTTTTTTTCAGAAGGCGAAGAATTCCTACCTCCCTACTTCATGCCTCTTCTCTGAACATTCCTCTCATGAGGAAGATAAAGTGGCAAAAACTAATTATTGTAGGGCAGAATTTTCCAAATTTACTTAACCTAAGAATTTTGTTTTTGTAGTGCTCTGGGAATCAAATCCAGGACCTCAAGAAAAGGCAAACACTACATTTGATCCTTTTAATGTAATACCTACACATACATAGAGTTTGGAAAATTCTCTTTGAAAACATTAAAATACTACCTTTATAAGAACTCAACATACTTTTCACTATTCAATTTTCAGGATTAAAAGAATATAGTAAAACCAGACATAGTAGTGCACACTTTTCATCTCAGTTTGAGGAGGCCAAGGTAGGTGGCTCCCTGTGAGCCTGAAGACAGCTTGGTCTACATATTGAGTTAAGGCCAGTCAGGGCTACACAGTGAGACTTAAAAAAAAAAAAAAAGTATCATAGAAAAAAATTTTTTAAAAAATTGAAAATATATATTAGAGACAGGAGGATTAGGAGTTTGAGGCTAGTCTGTGCTACAAGTGAGAACCTGCCTCAAACAACAAAAACCAAACTAAAAAAAGATTAGCTTTTACTTTTCCCCCAGTAGAATCATCATACCTTTCATGAGTAAATTTTTTATAATTATTTCTTGTTGTATTATTATTATTGAAGACATTTTCAACATACTATAATCAAGAATTCCTAAGGAGGTATAAAATTTACTAAATATATTCTACCTCTCACTCACAAACCACTGTTATTCATAAGTAGTGTGAATTTTTTATTAAAGGAGAAAAACATTATATATAGCTTTTCAATTATTTTATGCCTAAATGCAAAATAATTTTTTATTAACCTCATTGATATATTAAGGAGATGAACAAAGTAAAAAGGAGAGGAAAAAGATCCACTGGGACAGGAGAAAGGGTAGGAACTACTTTAAGAATAATACAGGTGCTAGAAAGATGGCTCAGCAGTAAGAGCACTGGCTGCTCTTGCAGAGAGGACCCCAGTTCAGTTCCCAGCACCCACATGGCAGCTAGCAACTACCTTTTACTCCAGTTCCCAGGAATCTGACACCCTTTTTGGCCTTTGTGGCCACCAGGCCCATACATGGTACACTTACACAGATGCACACAAACATTCATACATATTTTTAAAAATTTTTTTAAGAAAAGGAATTTTTACTATAACATAGTCTTTCAAAAGATAAAATAATGGTCTTTTTCATAACTAAGCCAGTAAAACCCAGAACCTGTTCATAAGTCATAAATTTCAGGTATTAAATTATATAACCTCAAGTTCAAATAATCAAAGACCTCTGATAAAAAATTATGGCCTGTATTCAGAGGATATATTAAAAATTAAAATGGTCTCTACATCTATACACTAAGGACCCTTGTGACTACTTTTTGTTTTGTTTTTCTGATGGGCATGAGCTCACTACTGAGTTATATAGCACTAGCCCACAGAATCCTTTATTTAAATATGAGGCAGGAGGATCAGTTCAAGGGTATCCTTGATCACTTACTGAGTTTAAGGCCAACCCGGGGCTACATGAGACCCTGTTCCCTCTCCCCACAAAATAAATAAATTAATGTAGATAACATCACAGCTACTTGGCAGAAAGATCACAAGTTCAAAGCAAGTTAGTTAAGTTATACCCTGTCTCAAAGCTTAAAAAAAAATAAAGAAAAAAGGAAAAAGCTGAAATCACAGAACACTAACCTAGCATGCTCAAGGCGCTAGGGTTCAGGTCTTAGAACTGGGGGTTAAAGGATAGGTAGCAATGAACTAAAAGGTGAAAACTAGAAAGAGAAATGTTAAAATTCCTTCCCAATACATAATTAAATTACTAAACAATCAGTCTGACAACCTGAGCTCAACCTCCAAGGCCTACATAGTGGCAGGAAAGAACTGACTCTGAAAGTTGTCTTCTTATCTCCACACACCTGCCATGGCAATGCCCCTGCTCCACTAAGTAGTAACAACAACAACAACAACAACAAAACCCTCAACAAAAGAAGACTTATAGCCAGGAGTGGTGGTGCAGGCCTTTAACCCCAGCACTTGGGAGACAGAAGCAGGTAGATCTCAGTGAGTTCAAGGGCAGCTTGGTCTACACACAAGTGCCAGATAGAGCCAGGCATGATGACTCATTATCTGTAAAATCCCAACACTCAGGAGGCTGAGGTAGGATTGCTTGAAGTTCAAGGCCAGCCTGAACTATAGAACCATGTATCAGGGGCTAGAGAGATGGCTCAGCGGTTAAGAATACTGGTTGTTCTTGAAGACCTGGGTTCGAATCCCAGCACCCACATGGAAGCTAAAAACTGTTAACTCCAGTCCCAGGGGATCCGACAGCCTCTTCTGACTTACGCAGGCACTGCAGGACATGGGTGCACTTATCTACATGCAGGCAATACATGCAAACACATAAAATTAAAAAAAAAAGCGGGGCATAGTGGCACATGCCTCTAATCCCAACACTCAGGAGGCAGAGGCAGGCAGATCTCTTTGAGTTTGAGGCCATCCTGGTCTATAAAGTGAGTTCCAGGCCAGCTGGGGCTACAGGAAGACCCTGTCTCAAAAAGAAAAAAAGAAAAAGAAAAAGAAAAGAAGCATGTCTCAAAAACAACAACAATAAACTGAGGCCAATTTGGGCTTAAAAAAAATAGACCAGCAAGACAGTTCATCAGGTAAAGATGGTGGCCATGAAGATGGACAACCTGAGTTCAATCCCTGGAATGGAAGCCACATGATAGCAGAGAACAATTCTCATCTGATCTCTACTTGTATGATGTGGCATGTGTGTACCTCCCTCTCCCTACAAATAAAACATAAAAGGAAAAATAAACAGAATGCAAATCTCACAGAATTCAATCTACCATAACCTTTAAAATTTTTCAGAAAATAAACAAAGCTTATTAAAATTTGTAGGAAGCTGGGGATGTTTCTTAGTTGGTGTAGTACTTACCTAACATACCTAAGGCCCTAGGTTTGATCTCCAGTACCACATAAACCAGGCATAGCAAGTACCAGCACTTGGGAAGTACAAGCAGGTGGATTAGAAGTTCAAAGTCATCCAAGGCTATACATTAAGTTCAAGGCCAGCCTGGGCTACCTAAGACTCTTGTCTCAAAGAAAAAGATCAAATATTATATGTATATAATTATACATATATATATATATATAAGATCAAATATTTAGAAGGGAGATAGCCTAGTATGTTTAACTCATTCTGAAATCTATAACCAATACAGCAACCTATAGCACTGCCATATTATAGCAACATTAAAATACTGCTATGAGACATAATGTGGTTTGAAATGTCTGAAGTATTATGTCCAATTTGAAATTGCATGCACTCAAGTCTGATGCAACCCCTCCCCAAAAAATTTGACTGGGTATCCTTCGTTGCAGTAAAAAAAACAAAAACAACCTCTCAGCTTTAAACACAGCTATTTTATTTCTATCTCATCTTTCACAGCATCAATTACCTCCAGGAAATCCTTTGATCAGATATATCATCCACCTTTGGTACAGAAAACCAAGCAAAGGATGTCACCATCAACTGGATCAACTCCTGAAGGATCTGTTCTAACAATCAGAACCAAAATCAACAAGTAGTGTCTTACAAGTTTTTGTTTTGTTTTGAGACAGGGTCTCCCTGTTGCCCTAGCTGGCCTCCAACTCACAAAGATCAGTTTGCCTCTGCCTCCCAAGTACTGGAACTAACGGCATGTGCCACTACGCCCGGCTTGTCTTACATGTTTGCATCACTTGTCACAACTACTCAAGAAACCAGGAGGTGGGCTGAAGACTTTCTTTGATAAAATGTGTAATGACCAAATACTCTATAGTTCCTGATATTAAATCAGTGTTATCTCACTGTGTGTACTATAATTCCAACAGCCTTCATTTTAAATAACCTTTAAAAATAAATCTGGATTACATTTCAATAAAAAGAATTGACTACAAAGGGGGGAGAAGGAATACATTTTCTAGTATGCCTTGTACTGCTAACCCGTGTTCAAACTGCACCTTTGCTTCAAGTCTCTGTCTAAGGCAATGGGCCATCACTGAGGACACACTAGGTAGGATTCCATTATACAGTGCTTCAACTTAAAAAACACAAAACGAAATCCCATCTCTTCAGGTTTCTTCCTTTCACAGCTTCCTCAATCAACACCTCTAAAGAGGACAACTAAAAGGCACGAGAGGAACTAGGACACTTGGATTTTTTTTTTTCTTCTTTCAAAAGAAAGTAAACGGGCCTCCAGATCGACTGTGTGTTTCATGGACACAAGATATTCTTGAGGAACAACATACTACAGGAGCATGTTCAGGTTAGAAAGGCCTTATCTTTCAGATTCTTCTGAGGCATATCATTCTAAGAAAATGGTTCATCCTTCCGGGCTTTTTCTCCCTCCCCCTCTACTAGGACTACAGATAAGTGGGGTAAAGATTGATTCTCAGCTATACTGGTGTGTGACAGATCTGCCAATCTAAGAAACTATCGCTAACCTCAGGTGATTCTTTGCACAACGGAGTGCTTTCTCCTTACAACCCCACTCCGGTCCCCAGTCCAGGTCAAAGCCCACTACAGTAACCTCGGTTTGCTTAGCCTGGCTTCGGCGTGGGCTCCACTCGCGGTGAACACAAACCACCGCAGTGGGTCAAAGGGAACGCGTGTCCGCGCGAGCAAGCACCGGCCCCGCGAGCACCGACCCGCGGGCGCCCGCTTTCGCCTTTCGAATCCCGAGTAGGAAGTAAGACGGCGCCCGCGGAGTTCCGGCAGCCGCTGCGTCCGCCGCGCCGTCCGGAACCCGCCTGGGCCGCGCGCAACAAGTGCCCGGCGCGCGCCGGGTCCCCCGAGGCCTCCCCAGGCTCCCGCGGCTGCCGACTTACGATCTCCGAGCGGCCGTCGCGGCAGGCGTTCTGAAAGCGCGTCTGGCGCTCCTCGTGCGGCCGGTCCCTGAAGCCCGTGTACTTAATCTGCGAGGCAGAGACGGCCGAAATCAGGAGTCAATCCGCGGCGGCGCCCGCCCACCCGCTCCCCGCGCCTCCGATAAGGGCAAGCAGAGCCTGCGGGCGGTGGCTGCCGGGCGAGATTGCCCTCCGCCGCCGCGCCGCCCCCGGCTGCCTGCGATCCACGCCGCCCAAACTTTTCCCCGCCCGGGCCCACTCGGTGAGCGCCGAGGCCTCCGAGCCTCGCGTCCGCCTCACCTCACCTCACACTCGCGGCTCAGCTTCCTGAAGAACTCTTCGTTCTCGAACTTGCTTCTCTGGTCGGGCACGACGCGCGGCATCTTCCCGCCCTCAGGCCGCGGCGTCGGGCCGGGCTCTGCGCTCGCGCGGACACCCGCTGGCCGGCTCTGCGCCGACCGACTGACCGCCCACCCGCGGCGTCCGGACTCCCGCTTCTCTTTGTTTCAGGCGCCCGCCCGCGTGGGCTCCCGCTCCGGGGAGTCTGAAGTGGTGTGGCCGCCTGCTCCAGCCCAGCCCACGCCGCCGCCGCCTCAGCCGTTGCCT